AAAAAAAGCCTGGTTTCTGATGCCAATTATGTTGCACGAAGCGAATAAATAGGCCAGGTGTGGTGACTTATGCTTGTAATTCCAGCATTTTGGGAGAATGAAGTGGGAGGATCCCTTGAGGCAAGGGATCTGGCCTTCTCCAACTTGGACAATGTGGTGAGACCTCATCTCTACCGATTTTTTTTTTAATTAGTTGGGCATGGTGGTGTACATCTATTGTCTTAGCTATTGGGAGGCTGAGGTGGGATAGGATTGCTTGAGCCCAGGAGTTAGTGGTTACAGTGAGCTATTATAATCATGCCACTGCATTTCAACCGGGGAGACAGAGCAAGACCCTATGTCTACAACAAAGTGAATAAATTAATTGTGTATTTTATCTTAAATTGTGGGGCAGAAACTTAACAGTCTACTTTGGATTTTTCTCTAGTTGTATCAGTTATGATAGTTTTATAGATTTTATATATTATAAAATATATAATTATATAGATTTTCTATGTCAATTTTATAGATTTTCTGTGACAGTATATCTCCTATATGCCTGGTTCTCATGCATAGCTTCTAGAATAATTCTTGGCAAAGGAGGATTGTTTTATTAATATTCATTCGTTTCAAAAAAAACTTAGTATATATTTTGTGGCTATTAAACAGCCCATACAAGGTATTCACTTATTAAATTACCCAAAATACCCAGTTTCCTTCTAATTTTGTTTGCTCTGCCTTGATCCTCATTTTACTGGTTCTAACATTGAAACAGCAATTTTAGATATCTGGCCAAAGATGTATATCTGAACAGCAGCCTTTAAAGTGAATTGACATCAAAGCTTTAACCAACAAAAGCATGATATATTTGATGGTGCCTTGTCTACCCAATCAGATTCTAGCTCAGATAATTTGAAATGAATACATGAAGGTAGTACTCTGTATGGTCAAGCCAGAGGATAAGAAAGAAGCCATGAGATAGAGTCAAGAATCAGTTATTTCTATGTCTACCCTCATTTGCTTCCCATCTCATCTAAGTCATTACAAGAAACAAACACCAGAATAGGGAAGGAATATTTACTAGCTGATGTAGAAAGGACAGGATACTTGGATTGTTAGAGGCCAAGCTGGATCTATGTATTTCTTTACTTTTCCATATTCCTTGATAATAAATCCCTATTAGAGGACCTAACTAGAATGGGTGGCTGTTAATTGCAACCTGGAAAAAAATTATCTGGGAAACACAACGTGTTACTTAGCAAGCCATAGATGAATACCTGGAATCTTCTGCTGAGTGCCCCTTTTCTAGAAACTGCCCTTTCCTAAGTTCTACATGTCTAACTTTGATCTGCTTCCATGCTACAACAACCCCTACTCCCTGTCTCTAAGATAGACAACTTAAAACACCAAGTTAAACCAAGTAAAATGCCTTGGTCCCTGTTAATTGGATGGGACTTCCACTGACTCCTTTATCTAGCATTTCTGTAAATGAAATAAAGAATTTATATACAGTCTTTCACAGGTAGCTTTTAAAATCTAAAACTCCACAGCTAGATTCTGTTTCCTTCTATGTAGAAATGCCCCGGCAGTGGTGAGAATGAAGCTACTATTTGAAAAAATAAAAAATCTCAGATAGATCTGGAGAATATTCAAGCTGTTCCTGTGGCTTACGTGCTCACTTCCCCTTTTTTCTTAAGCTACTTCAATTTTCATTTTTGTTACCTGAAACCAGAACAGTGTGAAATGGGAATAGAACTTCTCCAACTTAAGAGAAATCATATAGGTCATTATGCCCTTGAGAAAGATATCTTGCTATGGTCCATATTCTTTTGTTTTCCTTCCAGATCTCTCACGCTTTCCTTTGGTTGAAACTGTAACTCCAATATAGAGATGGCTTTGTCATGTGATGCTCTTTCATATCCCCTTCTCCACTTCATTTCTACAATTATTAATAGAATTCAAGGAAAGTCTTGATACAATGAGTGACAGAATGCTGCTGTTTGGAGAAAGGAACATATTAAACTCAGAATTTAGTGTAAAATTATTATAGATCCCTGACTTTGTCCCAGAGTCTTAATAGTTCACTCCAATCTTCAGCTTGTTTCTAAGACTTCCCTGAAGGTCATATTAGAACTTGCTACTATAAATATTTTTCCATTGGCCACAAATATAAATTTGGGACAAATGTCAAGTAAGAAAAGAAAACAAGAATATTACAAATCAATTATCTTCTCAACATTAAAAATATACAATTTTAATTTCATTTTGTGCAATTTCATCTTCCTCCTTATCTTTCTAAGTCATATTGTGATCATGAGCAATTCAATTCATTTCCTTACCTTTAAAGGAAGGCTTGTTACATCCCAAATCTAGTGCTTTATGGGTTTCTGATTTACTCTTCATCTAATAAAAGCATGTCAAAATTCCCATATACTTTAATTTTCTCTTACATTCCTTCTTTACCTCCACTCATCCCCACACACCTCTTCTGGGCTACCAGATGAACACATCTTAAACTATCATTCTTAGCTCAGGCTGCTATATCAAATACCTTTGACTGGGTGGGTTAAACAGTAAACATTTATTTCTCACAATATAGAGGCTGAGAAGTGCAAGATCAATTTGCTAGCTGATTTGGTTCCCCAGGAGGACCCTCTTCTGGTTTGCAGATGGGATCCTTCTTGCGATCTCTTCACTTGGCAGAGAGAGAGAGAGATCATCACTCCCCTGTCTCTTCTTTGTATAAGATCAGTAATCTCATTCATGAAAGTTCTACCCTCATGATATAATTAGCCAAAACCCTACATCCAAATACTTTCACATGGAGGATTAAGACTTCAAGATGTGAATTTGGGAACCACAAATATTCAGTTCATAGCACAGCCTCAGTAAAATGTGCAGATAAGCTCATTCCTGTATTACTGGGAAGTGATCAAGACTTGGGCTCTTTACCACTCTTTCAGCCAAGGAGAAACTGGTAAATACAAACCAGGTTCACTATTACGATAATCAAGCAGATGACAGACACAGTGGTGGTAGATTGTGCTCCTTATTAGTAGTTTGTTGACTTAGTACTTGAAATACCACCTTTCCTCTTAATTCTCTGAGTTCTGGAATTCTCTGATATTTTGGTGATATTTAATGTTTCAAGGCCAAAAACAACCACTGACAAATTCAAACATGTTTACACATTAACTTAAAAAATGCTTTTGTTACCTTAGTTAATTTAATATTCAAGGAAGACATTTCCAAGATTATTTTACTTTTGGTAAGTGTTGTTTTCCTTCTATGTGCATGATTAAGCCTTAATTTTTTAAGTGCTAAGGAGGAGTGGCTGAACATAAATCAATCAAATCTATTTTGCTTTTATGTCCAT